CATAACTTAAGCGAAACAACAATATACAGTCAACCCTCCTATAACGCGGTCAGTGCGTACCGCGTTATAAGAAACTCGGATTTAACCGTACAAACCAGGCTAATTCGTAGCGTGTTCTATGGAAACCGTCTACCGCGTTGTATGGAAACCGCGCTATAAGAAACTCGGAATTAGCACAAATCACATCTTTCGTACCGCGTTATATGGAGACCAATAAATACAAAAGACAAGATAAATTATAAATTATTTTTATTGAATTGAATTGAAGAGTTCATATAAGGATTGATAAAAAAAAATGAAACAAGAACTAAACTAAAAGACTGTTTTTCAACAAAAACAATGAAGACTTTTGTAAAATTATGTAATCTTTCAACACTCGTCCTCGCTGTCAGATATGAGTCGCCTAACTCGTCTTATTTTAATGGGCAAAATGTCTTCATTACTTAGTTCATCTTCACTTTGGTTTTCGATTGTACCTACTTTGTAATTTGAAGTTATAATCTATTAAGTTTTTCACAAAAAAAAAAAGATAAAAATGGTAGAGTATATAATTATATAGTCTTCTTTTCAGTTAAGATTCAAATCCTACCCAATCCAATAATATAACTTTTTCCAGTATATCATATAAATGGTCAAAAATTCAAAATATACATGTAAATATCTGATTCGTTGGTCTACGCCGTAGACTCTACGGCACTAGTTTTTGATTATGAACACACGTGCCAACTTGTGGTAAAATGAAAAAAGTCAACTGGTTCATTGCTCTATATGCAAGATTTTCATTTCAAGTGTGAGAGTATTTGGATTCATCAAAATGTTTTACTTAAATTTATGTTTAAAAATATATTTGTTTATTTCTACAGAAATTGTACCAACTTGAAGACATCTTCAATTGGATCGTTGGTCAGCGATTCCCAAGTTTGTAATTATGATAGAAAATAATTGTAATATTAATTTAAAGTTACATCACGTAAAATTAACATCACGGTTACTTACTAAATTTCTTAAATGAGGGGGTAAAATCTAGTGAAAGTACATGTTAAAAGGTACACTAATGAAAAAAGGTTGGGAATCACTGCTCTAGAATAATTTACTTGAGTAGAAAGTCTTAATAAATACAGTCCATTAATTTACATTACAATATAATAATATTGAAATTGTTTTTGCTAATAAAAGCATAATTTCTTGAGAAGACTTCTTGTAATTTTCTATTCTATTTATCGTACATTGTTAATAAACTGTTATTGACACTGATGGTTGTACGATTGTGTAGATGTGACAATGAATAAACAGAGCGGAATTGTTATTTCAATAAAGGCGTCGTAGTGCCTCATAATGGTTCGGTGATTGCCCATATGGATTATCGATTAGCCACCACTGTATTATTCAAATTAGTCTCAGTCGGACATTATTGGTGCGATTTTGGACAGTCTCGCGCTCAATTAGCCACCCTCGATGCTCTATATATCCATCCTCTCTCCGACAAATTTGCGCACGCAAACTACCCTCAGGGAACATATGCACACAATCTCACTATCCCTTTATAAAGACAGAAAGATTTTTTAGATATAAATCTACAGCATTCATCACCAAATCTCTTTATACTTAGTGTTAAATATAGACATCTAGTTTATTTTATATTAGAATATTTTTTTAATTTCCTTTTAAAAACAATAATATTTCTTAGTGTGCATCATCAGGTCTTTATGCTTTGTATGTTTTATGCAACAAATTCAAATAGTTATTTAACAAGTTTGTTTTCTTAACAAAAAAATGTAATGTTTTCTAAATTCTCTTAACTTAATTGTTAGTTCCTTTATGCAGAAAATACCAGTATTTCCATCAACCTCAAGTGAAATTGGAATATTTTCAGGTAAATAAATGGATTTCACATTGATCAAGAAGAATTTGCCAAAGTTAGAAATTTGGTGTAGGATGATTATATAAACCATGGTAGTCATGGAAACTACCTAAGAGATACTTGACAAGTACTTTATAGGTACTTAGTAAGAATAACATATCTAGATTATTACTAAATACAGTTTCATTGTTTTTTTATTATACTTATTAATATACTTATACAATTGATGTAATAAGAACATGAGAACCATTCAAGTAAATCCATGTCCTAAGTTGCTTATCTCTCGCTTACGTTAGTTATGTAACTAACAAGTATTTCAAAGATAACAACACCTTTTTCCGTCTTCTAAGTTAAATTATAAAAAAAAATCATAGTTCTTCATAATGCAATCAATCATTGAAGTACTGAAGTTTATTTGGATGAATAATATAAGTATGTCTAAGTGCTGTATAGATTCGGAATGGCGATGGGTGCATTCGAGGGAAACATTATTTTCCATTTACCTCGACGTTTTCCATTTACCTCACAATTTTCTATTACATAATAATTAGGGGTCGCCAGCCGCGTAGTGAAGGCGTCGGTCGGCGTCGACGGAGGTGGTGCAGATGATGGGAGGGAGTGGGTGGTATGAGGTGAGGTCGACGTGGCTTCGTATTTTCCGGCAATTCGCACTAATTTCGATGCGCTGTGTGGCGCCCGCTTTTCCCTATTTTTCTCCCGATGATTGTAATTCCTCACGGTCGGGCTCCTCTGACGACGACGACGCCTCTCCCAACGAAAATCGGGTTATTATTATTTCCGCTTGACATTTAGTCCAATTTACGCGACGTAATGGAATACTAACTTTATTTATTTCATTACAACCCCTCACCTGGCCTCACCAACACGTCTCCTCCGACGACGGATTTTCCCCATTTTCCACCATTCTCATTTGTGCTCCACCCTTCTTCTATTTTTCTCAACGCTTTCTAAAATGCAAAATTATGGATAGATTACAGTTAACAAATCGTTATTTCTTTCAATTAAAACTATAGTTGATAAACAACCAAAATCTATAAATTTAACACAAACAATAGTAATAATCTACATAACTTATCTTGTTTTCTAGTTCACTACTATGTGTTAATGCTACAATATTTCTAACTAGTAACAAACAATGCATACTTAATCCTAATAACAATTTCATAGAAAGATATCCTAGTTCAAACATATCTCAAAATTTGGATAATTATTATAATCTTAGAATTTTCCACCAGAATAAGAAAATGTATCATCTCCATGCGAAGAAGATATAAATCCTATTGCGTTTTCAACGTTCATCATTAATACACCATTTTTTAAATTTCATTATTGATATTTCTAAATCTATAAGAACTACAAGAATGTTTAAAGTAGTTCTTGTTATTGATAAAATATACAAATAATATTTATTTTCCTTGCACAAATACTGACGATAATGGCAAGTTTCATGAATAATAATTTCGAATTTCAAATAAAGCGGTTAACTCATTTTAACCGTCGCAAACGCAGCATTATTTATATAAACTATCGATAACATTTATGCGCGCTTTTCGCATAAATATAGAAATAACTATAAATAAAATATTTGATACCGAGAATGAGAGAGAGAGAAATGATATTTATTCACCTTTCTGGATGATTCGAAGTAGGTATCGACTATTCCTATTAAGGAAGAGGAGTGAAGGAGGAAAAAAAAATCTATGACCCTCGGACGATATTTCGCATTTAGATAAACATTTTTCAAGAATATATGACCGCCTTTTGGTCAGCCACACCGGAAATACAAGATCGGCTATCGGGTGACGTATAGTGTCATGGCTGACCACTGACTTCCGGCTACATTTACACGCCCTCGCCCATCGTCCAGAAAATATTGTAATGTCTTCAAAACTTCTTCTCTCAAATATATACATATACATTTTTTTTTCTCCACATTTCTTTTGCTCGCATCCCCTTGTCATGTTTGTACATATTTTCGCTGCGAAACGCGTTAATAGTAATTGAATCCGGCCTCTACGTGTCCTATCTTCGCTTATTTTTTTTTTCATAGTTATGTATTTACTTTTTTTTTCTCTATCTTCTGTCCAGTCGAGAATCCGGCACCCTTTGCCGAATGGAATAACGCAGAAGCTGAGTGGTCTTTAGACCTGCATTCATTGCCAATTCGCGGCACAATGCACGGAATCACTCCCGGATCCGGCAGGAGTCAAGCCCTTTATGTGCGTCGGGCAGAGGCGTGGAGAGAAGGTTTTATACAGTGATAGAGAGAGAGAGAGAGAGAGAAATAATAATAATAGTAGGGAACTCGAAGTCCATTCACTGATTCATGTATACGATTTCGTAACTAATCATGAAAAGGGTTTTTTTTTTGCAACCCCTTTTCACATCGAATTAACAGCGACAAAACGGCTCGCGAAAATCTCTTCCATTCACCAAGAGAGTGAGAGGAAAAAAATAAGTATATCAATTTACACAAGCAACTTCAAAAGCAACGACATTTATACTACGAAAAAAAAAACTTGTAACGTGAAAAGAAATGTAATTAATTTTATTTTGAATTAACCACAATTTTCTCAATCATAACTTGAAGAATAAATGATTTCTTCTAGGTGAAAATATTTAGTGAATAAAGGTTTGTATAACAAACACAAAATCTCTTCCAACATCTTTTTTCTAGCAGAAAATATTACGAAGATAGAAAAAAATGTTTCAAGTATATTATTTATAAAATTCTTTAAGTATTTCGGAATTGTTATTACAACTACATCAGCGTTTCTCAACCTTTTTGATACGCAAACCTATTGCTAAGAGTATTTCGCCACTTCCTCGCTTTGACACAATGTGAGTGCTGTCTTTTCACGACCAATGAATATTATAGCGTTGATCTACAAGTCAAGTAGGTAGTACATACCAAGTAGTTTAGTACTTACCACGTAATTGTTGAAAATACTTGAAGTTACTTTACGTGTTGTTAAACTTTAATTAGAAAGGATTAAGTAGGTAGTACTTACCAAGTAACTGTTGAAGTTACTTGGCGTGTTATTTAATTTGAAATAGAAAGGTTTTACATGATACTTGTCAAGTAGTTTGTAGGTTGTTGAAAGTATTTGGCTTAAAACACAAGAATAAAATACTATTTTATTAATAACAACAACCATTTGTTTCCAAACATAACAAACTATTTTCAATCGTCGATAGAAGAGATGGATTTAAATCCTACGCTATGGTGACGCGTTGCTTCGCACGCTTGAAGTCCTGAGGATCGGATTTCCCTTGGAATTTATCGATACTATTGAAAGAGAAGATAGAAGAAGTGAAAAAAAAAACATGTAATAGAAAAATTAAAGTTGAATGCGTGAAAGGGGGGAATGAAAGAAAAAATCCGGGGAGGGAAGAGGAGAAATAAAGAAGAAAATCGGCTTACATCCGTTCATATTTCAATTTTTCTTCCCTCGTGAGCGAAGGCCTTGTAGTTTGAACGGCGCCGTCCAAATGCTTTTGAGCGATAAAATTGACGTCGCCTGAATTGATCTGCCAAACAGAAATACCAAATATAACAGCAACAATATCAAAAAAAAAAAAGGCGAGAATATTTGTGTGTGTGTGTATATACACATCCTCTCAAACAGAAATGGTTTTGTGCGAATTGGCACAAGGACGACAAAGTTATATTCTGAATGGAATCAATTTGGTAACTGGAAACTCCCTGGCATTGAGCTCTCTAACACACACCAACACAAATATATATGTGTATATACAAACGTGCACGCACACATGCACAGGTGGTTGGTTTCGGTGGAGCTTCTTTTGTTTCGTCGCCGCCGTCGCGCACACAATCAAATTAAATAACAAATTACGTGATTATTAACCGGAGTGTTGTGTTGTTCGTAAGGGAGCGCGATTCGAAAGGGCAAAATGCAATCCGGAACCCCCTAAAATATTTAATTAGTGAAACGTGTATGTGTACACCAAGAAACACGCATTCACAATTTGCTCGCTTTTGTTCCGGCTTCTACAGCGTCGAAGAATCAAAGAAATTTAATGAAACGCGCGTGCAAATTAAACGCGCTGCACCTGCGGGGATTCCCCGTCAATTGATTCGAGATTGCCACATCGACGTCGTCGTTAACTAAAAATAATGCATAATTCTCATTTGCGAGGCAATCAAGATAAAGCCTGTCGCGAGATATTATAATATTAAGGTGTCCCTCCTCTTCCTGCCCCCAAGGAAGAGGAGGAGGAAGTGTAGTTAACTCCGCCGGTTTTGGGGGTGTGAGATCGGCCCAGGGGGTGGCGGCGGCGGCGGCAGCAAACTTCAATATTACACTCGCAACCCGCGAATTGCCGCCACGCCACGAGATAGAATTATCTTAAACCCATTTATGAAGCGGCCCCCTCGGCTGCGGCTCCTAACTCGCTAACACCTTCGACACCCGAATCTCATCTCATCAGTGCACGTTACTCACAGCCGCCTCCGACGCCGCCTCTTCGTTCAATAAATGTTCCACTGAATTCATCTGGGCCGTGTAGAGGACTGCCTGCAGGTCGGCACCAGTGAATCCCACCGTCTCTTTCGCCACCTTACTCAGATTAACGTCCTTGGCAAATTGCAATGTCCTGGACAAACATTGAAGAATCAGTAATCTACCATCCTGCAAAGAAAAATATACAGATTTTTCAACCTCTTATATTCGACCAAGTGAACATTTATTTCCCAACAATCTTTATGCTTCAGATCCAGACTGGGAGGATGCTCTTCTAACACACTACAACACATATACAAAACATACATCCGTCCAGTAATCACCATAGTAACTCACACCCTCATTACACCTCAACTTTTGTAAAGGCTTTTACAATTTGAAAGGAAAATAATACGAAAAATTCTAAAGTTACACTACAAATATCCCTCTGCTCAACTCTATGACCTTGTTCCCTTCCCCAGCATTACAGACTTCATAAATACACT